TGCATGATAAATAAAATCATTTGAATCATAATGTAATATTATGACAATTCGCCATCAGCTGTCATTGAAAGGCATAAGGCACCAATACTTTTTATAATTGGTAATGTCTATAATGCTTGCTAATAATTCATGACACATTATACACCATCAAACGTGCGTAAAAAATGATTCATACACACATCTCTCATACTTTCATGGCGTTGCTATGCATCCCAGGTATCCCTCTTTCTTTCCCTCCCTCTGTCTCTGTCTGTCTGTCTCTATGTCTCTCTCTGTCTGTCTCCCAATCCCATTTTCTCCATCTCTCTGTATCTCGATTTCCCTCTCTATAAGGTTCGACCCTTATCACGGATCTCCCTCCCTACCGACCCCCCCCCCCCCTCTCTCTCTCTCCCTTTCTATTCGTCTCACTGCACGTTCTTTTTCTCCGTTTCTCTTTATCTTACTCTCCCCATGAACTATTAGGTTCATGCTCTCCCACTCCGTAGGCTCAACCCTTATCACTCATCTCCCTCCCACATTACCCCCTCTCCCTTCCCCCCTCTCCCTTCCCCTCTCGAGTACGCCATCTCTCTCTCTCTCTATCTACACTCTTATTTCCACGGAGTCAAATTTCACTCTGAATGGCGTCAGCTGGGAGTCAACTCTATTCCTAGTTAAAGTGACACGGAAAAGGAGTCATCTTGACTCTGAATTGAGTCAATTCTCAGCTGATGCCACACAATCCGAGTCAAATTGATTCGGAATCCGTGTCACTTTAACTAGGAATAGAGTTGACTCCCAGCTGACGCCATTTAGAGTGAAATTTGACTCCGTGGAAATAAGAGTGTAGCTCTCACTAACTCTCTCTCCCCTTCGGCTTGTAGTGTATGTCTAAAATCGAACTGCTTTTTCTTAATCATGCCCAATTGTTTTGAGACGGATCTTTTTGTAAGACGGATGTGTTGCCACAATTTTGTATCATGCATGCCGTATCTTGTTTGATGTCTATTTTCAGATTTTCTTTCATTATTCTCATCTTATTTCCTTGAGTGACGTTTTTGTCGATTATTATTCCACATTATGATCACACCATATACATTAGTTCTCCTATAAAATTGAATTGTTAACCAATCACTACACTAAGTTAATCCTACTCAATTTTCATATCGAATAAAAATAAATGAATTGTTGCAGTTAGTTTTAGAAATTGTGCACGTCTATATGAAATTGTATTTTGATTCAATTTTGTCCCCAAATACTAAGTCTTCGCAAAGAGTGTATACAAAAAGAAAAGTAAACAAAACAAAACAAAATAACAACAACAAAATTCGTTTTATATGCATTTGGGTAACCTTATTTTATTTTAAAGGAATGATAATACAATTTTGGACAGTATTTACAAAGACAAAAATAATATAAGAATAAAGGATAAAAAGGAAAATCTTAATGAAATATATAAATTAAGATGGTGTAATATTTGCCAAAGGGTGATCAGACTTTGGGTAAGAAAATAAAATCTTCCCATTAGTTTTAAGACATCGACCAAAACGTCTACAATACATGCAAATAACAGTGGAAAATTACCTTACTCCATTTCTGAAAGTACTATGTTTAAAAAATAAACCACGAAAGGAAATGCTAATAACAATAATGTTTATAACATTTTACTTTCTGGTTTCAGTTTCAATAAAAAATTTAAATTATAGTCATAAAAAAGTATGACTATAAATTATGTACAAAAACTTTTTACTTCACCAAGAGTGTACAAAAAGAAAAGAAAACAACAACAACAACAAAAATAACATTCATTTTCTGATTTAATCATTGAATCCAACAGATAACCAGCATCAATTAAACAATGCTATAAAACCCTAATCATACATGCTGGTATTTCTCTCTTGACCTTAAACACCCACGCTGTGACTGCTTGAAACCTATGTAGGCCCTAAGTGTATACTGCTTATTTTTTATTTTTTTTAATCAGGCTGGCTGATGCACTCTTTGGAATTCTTGCCATACTTAAAAATGCAATCAATATAGCTTTCAAATATTATACTTTATTGTGCTTAAGAAATGATTGACTGAGAATACGTTGTCTTTTACTCCACTCTGGCATTTAAATGTTCTGGTTATGGTCAATTCCATCGTAACAGGCATTCAGAGACCTATTTTGAGGGCTTTAGATAGTTTTCAACGAAATAAATTTTACTTTTTACGATTAGGTACATAACCAGCATATTTGAAGCGATTTATTTTCCCCTTGATTTTGGAAATGTTCATGGATTTTTGCCCTTTTGCGAATTAAAAAAAAATTAGTCCGAGCCTTTGACTTCAACAAGTTTTTATTCTCATCATCGTCATCGAAATAATAATAACGATGTTTCCCTTAGTGTCGGTATACAGGTGCACTGTCTTTTGAATCCTAATCCTAATTGGTACAGTATACGGCCGAGTGCGAGTTTCTTTCGATGGGCAATTGAAAGATTTTGTTATGTCAGTTTTGCATATCATTTTCATACACAATAATTATTAGGCGAAGTTTTATTCGTCATAAATTGTCTTCTTTTATTTATTTAACCACTCCGGTAGGTCTATCCTTTTTGTTTTCGTTACCATTTGTTTTATTCAAATCATAATATGTAGGCGTCCTTTTCCGGTCCATTTACAATCTCGGGTCATCTGCAGATCCATGATACTTTTTTCGGGGGAGGGTACCATTCCGGGAAAAAAGTTGTGACAGGCAAAAATAAAACCCGAGAGTCATAATTATCTTCAAGTCCCTTTTGGATCTAGAAATGCTGCTGCGGCAGTTTCTCAGTTTTGCTCAGTTTCTGAGGAGGTAACCCCCCCCCCCCCCCCCCACCCCACCCACACTCTTGCCCCCGGATTCGCCACTGAACTCTTTTTCGTCGATTGTCAAAGGGGGCATGAGATTGATAATGTAGTTCGATCTCGTGAACCCTCACTCAACGCGCAACTGATTGCGAATAGCTAGCTAGCTGCGCGCATTTATGTGAAGGATCGATGGAAGTAGTGCCGGTACGGTATCAAGGCCGGTGTAATCATTTTCGGTTTGCAAAATGGTGCATTTAAATTTAGGATTATTAACAGGTTAAGTTAAACGATAAAAATGATCTCTGAAGTATCGCAACCAGTTACTTTATTTAGGGGAAAGACTTCGGCCATTCAAGATGTCAAGGGCCATGACCTATCATTATTAATATAAATTACACACATTTATCTCTAGGCATACTGCCTAGGGTAGGGTCGATCTCGTGAACCGTATGCTAGGCCTACCCTCACTCAACTCAACGCGCAACTGATTGCGGATCTAGCTGCGCGCATGGATTAATGCAAGTAGTATAGAAATTTCGGTTTGCAAAATGGTGCATATTAATCGGATTAATCTAGAATTATTTTCAGGTTAACTTAAACAATACAAATAATCTCTGAGTTATCGCAACCAGTTAATTTATATAGGGAAAAACTTAGTAGGCCCTTCTATATAAGGCTCATATGACCTATCATTAATGACAGAAATTACACACGTTATCACTAAGCACCATCCCTGATTCAACTATTATTATGCTGATATATAGACCACAGCAGCATAGCTGCTATATAAAATATAAGGGTTGACTCCTACTGTGTAAATATTTGACAACTGGGTGACTAATAATATGACTGTTGAGGTCAAAGATCATAAAGCAGTAACATCCTATAAGGCTTCAGTTTTCATCTTGCAAATTCGAAGCGTATATGCAACCAATCCTTGAACTCTGCAGCTTCAATTTATGCCCAAGTTCAATATCAATTTCAAACTATAGCATTGCCAATTGTTGTAATATAAACTTTCAAGAAACTTAAAGAGTTGAATAATGGGTTAGACTAGTTTTTTTGTGCATACTAATACCAGGCTCAGGCTGTAAGATTTGTTGCTTGGGGGGGGGGGGGGGGGCCGGGGGGGGGGGGGGCCGGGGGGGGGGGGGGGGTGACAGGTTAAGACTCTTTAATAAAGTCCTAACAAAGCGATTGGCAGTGGATTTTTACAAATACATATATAAATATATAAATACATACAATTTGTTCACGTATGAACCTTTCTATTTGAGGAAGGGGAACTTAATTGAGCTAGAGAAGGACTGAGCTGCAGTTGATTTCTACGGTGCAGAAATGTTTCAGGGTCCAAAAGTTATTGTCATTTTTAAAAACAAAAACAGATTCGAAAAAATATGATATGGCATTTAGTTAGGTCCAGTAAATGTACAATATTGACAAGTATTGAAAATATATTGAACCGATTTAGATTACTGTAGAAATTTAATTTAAAAATAAAATGCGATTGCCTGGTTGAGTTAGGTACGGGTAATATTGTAAAAACTTTCAATGGGGCAAGAATTATTCATCAGAATAATATTCTTTGACTTTGCAGTGTGTGTCGGAGACGCTATGTGAAACCAGGGAGGTCAGTGAGACTATCATTGTCTCACCTCCCTGGTGAAACTTTGATTTAATATTTTCCGAAGTTTAACTTGACAAATATACTCATACAGATATCATGGATACGATTTTCGAGGCAGGTATACATTCTTTTAAAATAATGAATCAAAACCTATGGCTAATATGACTCAAACAAAGTTGAATTCCTGGATTTCCTGTCAAAGAGAGGTAAATTGAGTTTAAAGGGGAGCGCTCGATCGCGCCTATTCATGAATGCAAAATTACAAAAGAACATTATTGTAACATGACTTCTTCTACTGGCGAAGTGTTTTCGAAATTTGCTTAGGGTTAGTTTATATTTTTTATTTTTAATCTTGATCGTGTTTATAACCCGTTTTTAAACAGATGAACTTGATTACCCCCAGCCCACTTAGCTCCGTACACGTACATACACCGCGGAGTACAGGCCCGTCGCAATGCGCAGTAATATGCCGCATTGCGGAGCAGTGATCTGCCTTTCTAATGCTTTGCTATATCAGGCAATAGCTTGAAGAAAATTGGGTATTAATAAACGCCCTCACGGAAATCCGCATTGACTTTGTACTAGTTTCCTGTAGCTAGCTGTGTACCCGCGCGCCCACGTTGAATCTTTGGAGCTTTACCATCCTCGCATCTATATCTCGATTCAAGCTCAAGCTCAGCTAGCTAGCTCAGGTCATTCTATTTGTTGCACGATTTGGAGGGAGAAGCAAGTCAAGTTTGCAGGCATCTGCTTTTTTATTCTTCACCAATAACCTGAAAATATTCCAGAAAGATGGTAAGTTTTAAACATTTTGTTTCATCTTCTTACATCTAACGTTAGGTGATTGCAATCGTTCAAATTAAGTCGGATGACTGGTGTCCTTGACTTGGAAAGTTCAGAGACAATTTCAATTAACACACAATGCAAACTTAGGTAGACTCTACACTCTAACTAGATCTAGGTTTAGTTAACATAGAATTTAATTGAATAGCACGTAAAGGTCTGCAGATAATGACATCACAGGATTGTTCTTTGCTAATAGGTAATCAGCAATGATATCGGCAGCATTTAAAAATGATTTCTGTCGTAATTAATTTAACTTTGTCTGCGTGAATGAATGGGTGCACAGATTCCGTTGTGGAGGTTGGAAGTGGATGCCATAACCGCCTCCACAGTGGAAGAAAGAGAATGCTAGTTGCTACTTGTATTGTTAGGTTTAATTGACCATGTTGATATTAATGAATCATAATGATAATGAAAATGCTATCATATGAATATTCTATTATTCTTTCCTAATAAGTTGGATCAAATTCAAACAACTGTTGGCTGTTTATGTGTTGATCTTCTATACTAGGCCTAGCTATAGCGTAGATGATACTGATAGATCTATGATATTGATGATACTCCTCAGAGTCAGACCGCAGTATGTAAAATGGCAAAGTTTCTTCAAATGTCATTTATGTATGCATATCTTTTTATGACTACAACTACCATATTTCAAAATGTTATTATCACTGAACAACAATGTATCATACATAAATTTATAAGCTTTTAAAAGCGTTAATGATCATGTGTAGTCATAACATAGGTTAAGGACTTAACATGTATGTTTTATGCAATTTATATGATGTCTATCTTTTCTTGCACAAGTTTCATGAAGGTGTTTTTTTTACTTATCTTTTTATTTCCTTTTTGGCATCATGACAACCTACTTAAATTTTGATTTGAGTACAAGATACGTCTAGCCTTTAGGTTCTGTATCATTTCTACAGAAAAATAGAGATCTTTTGATATCCCTGACTCATGGAACAGTTATTCACAATTTGTGTTTGTTGTATTTCCTGTAAAGTGTTGATTTCCTCTTTGAGGTTAGCTTTAATTGATTATTCGACAGTGATTCTCACAACTGAATAAAAAAATATTTATTATTGATACTTTAGTAGGATCATTGTATGAGCGATCTATTTGGCATTTAGTATATTTCACTTTTTTTAACTGAAAGATCTACATATCTTGATCTTGATCAGGAATATAGGCGGAATATTAAATCATATAAACTTCATAGTTCCATAAAATAGAATGTCTGTATATACTCGCACGTGTTTGACTGTGAAACTTATTGCTTATTGGCATGTCATTAATCTCTCCTTCTTTATGAAATCCAGCCATGATAAGCTGATAAGTGCTATTAATATATACGTAGTATCGAGGTATGAAAAGGGATTAATGAATCGTATTATAGTTATATCATTTAATAAAAATTGTTTTTAATGGTTCATTGTATAGAAATTCAGCAATAATATTCTGCTTATGTTTACAACCACGTATTTTGTTACAATAATCCTTATGTTCACTTGTTCCTTATGATATATATGGTGTCTATATTGCACATACTCTTCACTCCCATAATACCACCGTGCTCGCCTCGGAAAACACTAAACCTCACGCATATTCCGCCAAGTACAATCGCCAAGAAAAGAAGTCCCAATTTGTATTTTGTTTTCATGCACCCAAACCTCTTGTCTCTCTTTTCCATACCCGATTCATAAAGTGTTTACCCGCTAGCTCTCATACAACCTTTATTAAGATCGCCATAACTCATATTCATTTCACATCCAAGAAGTAGAGCAATGCCTCCGGCCTTTCAGGCGAAAGTGGTTCGGATAGAATTTATTAATGCTTGAGCATATACTTCTTAATTATATTGCAGTGAGAGTAAGCATACACCAAAAAGAAGCAAATTGAAATTGAAGTATAGGAGATCTCATTTAAGTTTAAATCGCTTGAAAGGTACTCAATTACAGACAATTCTGATGAATTGTAGAATATGATATAAACGAACCATTTAGTCCATGAACGTGATGCATGGTAGATATTCCACAATTCGAAAAAGTAATACTATGCATAGATGACACACGTTTAATATATGATAGAGAAGCATGCATTCTAATCGAATAATTAAACGTGTACAGTACATCTGATTACGATTCATTTTTCAAACATCATTGATCTCCTGCAAGCATGCTCTGTGTTCCCCCAAATAAGGTACGTGTTTCCACCCCCACTGTGAACCATTTGCTTTGAGTCTTGTTCCATCTCATTTGCTCGTGATATGGGCTGTTGCTTGATGCATGCTGCGTTCTGCAACACATAAGGCTGCGGGCCAGCCGAGATGAGATGTTATGAGAAGGTGGCCTGGCAAGTTCATTGGCGAGGATGCATGCTGTTATGCCAAATATTTCTGGAATCTGACAGCTGTCTCATGGCTGAACCTCCCGTAATGCTTTTCCAACCCGTGTAAACCGACTCCTCTAGCCAATTTATCCATGTCGGATAAAACGAAATGACAGAGGGTTTCCAGTGACCAGTTGATACAATAGGACGATTCTCAACCCACATGCCAATGTGAATTTGAGATATATAGGGCATTAGCTTAATATTTTCTAAGTGATGGAATGAGGAACCCGATTGGATGCTCGCTGTATCAATTGCCTATACAGATGTGTGTGTGATCTTCCTGGGAATGTCCATTTGATACAAATTGAAATCCTTTCTGGTTCTCATTAACTTCCCCCAAATGTTTGCTTGCTGTGGCCTCCTCAACAGTTAAATGAGAACGCTCTTAGATGGAAATGCATGCATCAAGTCTGCTTTCATTTGTTCAGATTCTGAGAAAAAAAACAAACCAAACGGTTGTCTTAGACTTGTTCTAATCTTTACCCTTCTTTTGTCTTTCCAATTTGAACCATACCCCTACCCTCCCTCTCTTTCTCTTTCCCTTTTTGATTCTTCTTGTCTCCACATTGTATCTTGTCTGCAATTGTACGGACAGTCCCAGGAACTCACCATTAATGTAAGAAATCTCGCTTCTGTTATGTCTATTGTCATCAATATATCAATGTTGGAAATTGTTCAATATCTTCTAGTTGTTTTTTATACAGTATCTTTGTTTGCATCTTCTGTCGAAATTCACAAAAGAAGGTCATTTGATCCCTGTGTCATTTTATCTGTGTACTGTCAGTAGACTTAGTATCACGTATACCTGTACTTGTACATGTAGTACTGATATATTAATAGTAATTGATTTAGTAAAATATTAACTACATGTATATTGAAATGATGACGTCTATGAATAATGGTTGTTTTGTATCGTAACAGCTATAAGAAAAGGCATACTCACTGTCACAAATAGCACTGCATTTTATTGCATTCTGTGCTTGTTGAAGTACCTTGTTTTATGAAATGATAAAAGTGAAAACAAATATTTATACAGACATAATCTAACAGCTTGTTAGAATCCTTAGTAACTGTCGTATACTTGAACTTTGCTGTCATTTTCTGATTAATCATATATTTGCTCAACAAAAATATGGACAAACGAGTAACTTCAAGCTATGCTGTAGTTTGGTCTTGTAAGTTTAGCTTGTCAACAACAAAAACCCCCGGTACTTTGTAGTTGTTAATGTATTCAATTCGTATATATTCATGCCCTGAGCTCTAGACTTATTTTTGTTTTGTTAAAGTAACAAGTTTGCTATATTTAAATATTACAAATGTGAATGATTTTGTTGATAATGTCATTGATGTCAATATTCGTCAAGTAGTGCTTCGTACAGTACCTGTATGCATAATGTTTCTCATGCTGCTCATCCACATGTGATAAAACTAAAATAGTGAACTTGGCATCAATTGTGTAAAATATTGTGATAATAAAACTAAAATATGTTATTTTCATTCTTCTCTATCTCCTTAACATGCAGGCCGATCAGCTTACTGAGGAGCAGATTGCAGGTAAAAAATGATTCACATGTATAGCTATAATAACCAAGGGGCTTCCAAGTATTAATAGATAATCCAATTTTTAAAACGGCAACTCCAAAGAATGAGCTGAGAGTAAAAATATGTTGAAGATATTCAGTTTCATGATCAAAGTTCACCCGACCATCCATGGCGGATTGAATGCGACATATGTGCTGAGAACACTATAGGTGGTTGAACTGCTGTCAGTGTTAGAAAGCAATCGATGAGCCCTCGTCTGGCTATGTGGGCTAATGATCTAAATCAACCAATTATTCCTGACAAGCTATCGGGCTTCACAGATGGCAGATAACCAAAGAAAAGGAAGAGCCCCTTCATTTTTTTTTTCGAGTGGAGCATTTGATTCTGTAAATGCGCCTCGCGGATAGCGACATACTGTATATTGATTGGAATTGTGGACTTTGCATAATTTATTACGATGTACATACAGTACATAGGGCACAGGAATAAAAATTGTAGCAGTACTGTTGCAAGCTATCACGTTAGTAACTGAAAGTTAATAAAAGTTAGTTTCAATTAGTAATTGAAAGTTATTAGTAAAGAAGAGAAGAAGAGCAATTTATTTTTGTATTTATTTCCTGTCACGCTTCATGGATAATTTGCTTGTAACGAACTTTGAAGGGGAAAATGTATACATCAATAAGATATTACGTACTTTCTTTTTATAGGCCTTTTTTTAAAGCCAATATGTAAATGATTACATGATAATATCTTGCATGAAAAGCGCAAAAATGGGCTAATCATGGCTTGCAGATCAATATTCACGTGGTATTTTGTTTAGTCCGAGTAATCCATGTTTTTTTTTAAATGAGTTCTTAGATTAACCGTCATATCATCGCTCTTTCCCCCTGTTTCAGAGTTCAAGGAGGCTTTCTCCCTCTTCGATAAGGATGGCGACGGCACCATCACCACCAAGGAGTTGGGCACCGTGATGAGATCATTGGGTCAGAACCCTACCGAGGCTGAGCTTCAAGACATGATCAATGAAGTAGACGCTGACGGTAAGGATGTTAAAACGATTGGGAATGTGAAATGTGACAAAGGCGGAGGTTGATTGAATTTTCTAATGTGTCGAATTGATGGATCATTTATTAAGACAATTGTAAACACGGAAATTAAAACGCACTCGAATTTCCCTTCTCATTTCGTATATTAAAACTAATTTTATGAGAAAAACAGACGGAAGGTTTTTTTTCCCTTGAGAAGCACAAGTATTTTGAAAAAATGGTAAATTTAATCTCTTTGAATAAACTAAACACGGAAACGAAAATGCTCTTCACATTGTCAGTGTATATGTATTCTAATATTTGGTAAGAAAGAAAAAATGCAAAAACTTGGTAAGTTAGAAATCCCTTTTGTTGATGGTGACCTTAAATATGAGGTAGAAAGCCCTTCTCACGGATTCATGTGGAGTAAACTTGCCGAAATGGATTACATTTTGTAATAATTTCTAAAAGATAGTAACAATTTTGTTTTAATCTTAGAGTCTCTTATTTTCTGTAATAACAAACCAAACAAGTATTTGGCTCTTCCGATTTAATTTTGCTAGTCGATTTGAAAGAACAGGAATTTTATTGAATAAGCTGGTCAAATATCTACCTTTTTATCACGGTGTATAGAATCACACAAAAAATACATGGTATGGTATGTATGTACTTAAACTTCCCCTGTATCAGTAGATTCCATTACGGTGGCACAGTTTTTCGAGCGAATGTTGGCAACGTCCTGAAAAAATGACTAATATATCTCAAAGCCTACATCCACCGGACGGTTATCGGCTTCCTTTCCGAGGACAAAGCCCATCAATATATGAACTCGATTGATTTTTGTCGTATCAACTTTCCTCCTTGCCTCTCTCAGGAAACGGAACGATTGATTTCCCAGAGTTCTTGACGATGATGGCCAGGAAGATGAAGGACACAGACAGTGAGGAAGAGATCAGGGAAGCTTTCCGTGTCTTCGACAAGGACGGCAACGGATTCATCAGGTTAATAAACAAAAAACAAAACAAATCATTTATGTTATTATTGTTGTTATTAGTATTACGTATGATAATGTTTTGACACTCCAAGCATTACTTTACCATTTTATCAACTGTTTAAACTTGTATTCGAATTTTAATCGTTTTTAAATTTACCATCGATATTTGCAATCATGTTGTTGAATAAAAAAAGTAAAGTACATTCCTGTACTCCAAAATGTTTTGTATTTACGATAATGAACCTTACAAATACGTGTAGTAAACAATAGCGCGGGAATAAATAACCCTTGTTGAGGAATATTGAAAGAAACTGATGATGAGTAATGATTTTTTCCACATCTCGATTTCAGCGCTGCTGAACTTCGTCATGTGATGACAAACCTTGGTGAGAAACTGACAGATGAGGAGGTAGATGAGATGATCAGGGAAGCTGATATCGATGGTGATGGACAGGTCAACTACGAAGGTAACTCCATCTTCCCTACCGGGTACTGTTACTTTACCCGATCTTCTAAAATGAAATCGGATCACTTTGTATTCTCCGTTACCTCTTCTTCAAGTTTACTTTTTTGAGGGGTTCGGTTTTATTTCTCATTTCTTGAAATTGAAAGATGTTTTGATTTTTTAAAAATGAGGAGCATTCGGGAATTAAATTTTGTTGGCAAAAAAAAGAGGTAAATTTGTCCATTTTGGGGCATTGTTTTCTAAGGAGGTACTTGGGCAATGTCATTTCGATCGTTAAAGTAAGGATTGTCAATAAGTTCCAGGACGTTTAGTTTAACCCCTGTCGCATGTTTTTCTTTGGCGAATTTCTGTCGGCAACATTTGTTTGACATTAGCCGTCAAACAAATGCCGTTTTTTTAATATTTTGTTTATCGAACAGCTGTTAGGAGTATTTCTACATTTTCATTATTTCAATAGAATAGAGTATTTTATTACCTGACAGGCTGACACCATTACCTCTGTCATAACACGACTCCATATCGCTAAAGCTGTTTGTTTCCCGAACCCATTCCTGTAGTTTAATTTAATATTTCAGCGTGTTTATTACGTCACCAACAAAGGTTACACCGGCAAAATATTGACGTGAGGTTAATTATGAGGAACGTGATATAAATAATCGATGCATTGTGTGAGGCAATCGGTATTTTATTATGAAGCATGACTTACAGTATGATGTTTTTTTTTTCTGTTACCGATTTCTTTACACTTCTCATTTTCTATCTCCATGCAGAATTCGTGACGATGATGACATCGAAGTGAGGTGGAGGATGGCCATCGCTTATGTCTGTCTTGCCTTTCATTTGGACTTTTACACGCCAATCAGTCATCGGTCAATGTCATCTCCGTATTCAACCCCTAACAATCAATAATCTACTGTATATAATACGAGTATATAATACGAGTAATCTGATGACTGAAATAGCCAGGAGATTGTCGATGACGCGTGATGGGCCAGTCGGCCTGTTTGTTTCTTAACATAGATGGCGTTCTTCGTTTAATGACCAGACCCGTCAAACCATGTTGATTTCATCCTTGTAATTTTCGCTCACATCTCTCCAGTCGACATCAACACACTTCCATGCGGCGGTGTTCGTCCACTGCTGTTCCCACTCTTTTGTACTCATTCGTTGGACATTTATAAGCAAATACAAGAAGTAGTGATATGAAAGAGACGATCCATAACATGTACTTAATATGTACATTTCTGTGAAGTGCCTGTTGATGTACAATTCTTAGGAAAGAAACATTCTTTTACTTTTTAGATTTTTCTTTTTTATACTTGTAAAGATTAGTGTACTTCTAATGTTTGTCGAGGAATGTTTACTATTAAAAAAAAAGGAAAAACCCCAAAGCAAACCAAAGTGTGCCGTTGTTTTACGTATGATAGTAAATGGACATTACATGATAACGCCCTTTGCACAATGCACTCTCGGAGACTCCCGCCACGATTGGAATTCGGAATAGATTTCAAAGTTTTGATACATCGGGGCCCCGTTGTATAAAACTTACCATTGATGGTAACCTTGCCATCAATGGCAACTACCATGGTAACAGGGCTCAACAGCCAATCAAAATCAAGGTTTTCATGGTAGTTACCATTGATGACAAAGTTACCATCAATGGTAAGTTTTGTGCAACGGGGCCCTGAGCCCCATCTTGTAAACGGTGTATATAATAGATAGGAGACTGCAAACTTGCGATTGATTCAGATCAATCGCAACTCTTTAAAAGACAGGGCCCAGATCAGTTGGTGGACGTTCTGATGTATTAATGAAAATAACATCACAACATTGGAGCATTAAACGTTCGTTTAGGCAAAATAGGGCTCATTTGGTCACATGGGTCTGGAAAACAACGTCTCTTATCGCAGCCGATTTGGGGGTCTCGCTCCGATCAGAAAACATTTGCTGCCCATTGAAATTGTAAACACCAGTTGGAACTCGATTAGGAATATTCAACATTTAGATTTTTCAGGACTTTCCACTTTTGCGAATTCGTCATTATGTCGGAGTTTGATAGTACATAGTGCAGTAACTTAACGTGTTAAACTAATACCAAATATGATTTCAAATCAACGTCATTATTGATGATTAAATGTATATTCGATATAAAATGTGTGAAAATAGTTAATAGATGAATCCATATAGGCTCATGCTTGTATGGCTGTCATCAATGCATTATTTAAGTTGTAAAAGCAAGAGTCGATTATGATGATGAATATGAATGACAATGATTAAGTTGATAATGATGATAAATGACTTGCATTGAAGGTGGTGATGACGACTTTGATAATGTCTGATAAAGATTACGATGATTATGAGTGACGTCCAAGGTGATAATAATTCACTTTGACGTTGATATGAATATGATCATGATATTGATACTATTCCAACAAAGATTATGATAATGCTTAACGTTGATGCTGGTGATGTTGATAATGATTGATGTTGATGGTGACGATGATCGTGACATTGATATTAACAAAGATGATGATAAAGTGACGACGATGATTATGATGATGACATTGATAAAGTTTGACGAAGGTGATGATACTTGTTAACGTTGGCAATGATGATGATGAGTATGAGGTGACGGTGGTGTTGGCAGCGATTATGATATGCTAGCAAATAGCGATGATTATGATGATAATGCAGGTAAGAACGTGAAGAGCATAGTGAAGTTTTGGTAATTACCGTCTATGTTGTAAGGGGTTAAGCCGCGATATCCTGTGGGGGGAAGGTATTGTCTTCCATGGGTGTTCTGTTCCGTAGTAGTTGTCCAGAGGGTTGTTGACCAGGAGTAGTCGTCCGGGTGTGGTAGTCCAGCCAATAAACTAATAGACTAGCTTGTCGACTATAAACTCCTATTGGTCCGGGGGTAGTTATCTGCATGTTCACAGTCTTTACAAATTATGTTTTGCAATCTTTTCGCAAGATGGCGCTCTTTGACAAACGTGACACGTGACGTTCATTTCTGCACACTTTCGGTCAGAAAATGACGCATCGCGTCCAAAATGTCGTCATGCTTATCTCGGTTGTTCTGTGGAATGCGACTAAATCAGACTTCCCATGTACTTCCCTGCAAAAAGTGGATGTAACTAGAGAACCTATTCTTTTTATGAATTATTTAAATTATAATACTTTTCAGAAATAAGTGACAATAATGCCAGCAAGTACGTCAACGGGGAGATGGGGGAGAGGTTAGGGCCTTAGGGGCATGTTTTTTGTTTTTTTCGTTAGAAAAATGAGAAGATTTTAATGATTGTGTATAGTTTGAAAGATCGTGGCTGTTTTTTATTCTTCTGATTCTATTCTTAATATAGACTTATGTGCATCGAAACTGGTAGCAACTTTACGTACGTATTCACTCTGCAAGAGTAAGAAATTCACTGACGCCCTCTGTATACAGTTTGGTCTCTCTCCAATGGGAATGCTATTCCTTGGGATACAATCATTAAATATCCGGCTGACTGACAAACAGACTCACTGGTTTTAAGAACAGCAGAACGATAAACGTTTATCATCTAGAGATATATATAGCTCTTTTCTTCGTGCGCTAATTTTCATAATGTCTGCTTAAAATTTAAACAACAATCTAAAGCTGTCGTTTGAAAATTTATAAGCTAATGAAAGTAAAATCATATTGATACTGGTGATAATATATATTACCTTTTGTTTTGGGGGTTATTGTTGTTTGTATAACGAACGAATGGTATGAAACTTTTTGTTTGTTCATCAAGACCCCCCCCCCCTCCAAACTACAATGTTATGAGAGTGATTTTTTTATTAATTAAGTGGCAGTCACTTCAATTTTTATTTGTATGAAGAAAAAAAAATGAGAGAATTATCTTGTAACCAAGTGAGTCAAACATAATGTAACTTTGTGGTTGTTTCTTCGTTTTTTATTATCCAATAAGTAGCCTGTGGAGGGTTATCATTTTAAAAAAAATGTATATTACTTTATTTATGGGTTTTAAAGTTTACGATTTATAGGTTTAGAGAGATAAATCAGCATTCACTGTACACAATATTTTTTTTTTTCATTTAATTTTCAGATTTTCTGCTATTTCGAGGTTCGGTCGCTCGATAAGAAGTTTTTGAATATATCCACCAGCTGTCCAAAAAAGCTATTCATTAGTTATTGCAGACTTCATGAGGTTATACTACAGAAAAAATATGAAAGAAATTACGTCTTAAAGTAGGGTTTCATTTTATCATGATCAGTATCTTAATTTTGTAGTTGAAGATTTAGTTTTTCATGTTTAAATTTGACATATCTAGGTTGTCTGGTTTTGTCAAACTGTAAACCCGACTTACGAAAAAGCATAGTATTTCTATCATGCATTTGAAATTAAGATTGAGATTCATGTACATTGTAGACTTCACTTTAATATTTGGAACAGTACTAGTTCGTCTCTTTGACGTGGAAAGGGTGTCCTTTAAATTTTAGACAAAGTTGTTTTCCTCATTTTCTCGTCACGCTTATTTGAGAGGGTTTCAATGGCTTTAAGAGACCTTGCCTCTGGGTATATTCATTGTGATTGGACACAAGGGACTTTATCCCTCCGGTGAAGATCTACACATCTTATCTTCTCGCTGATTCTCTCATATCCAGAAAAGATTAACAAAGGGATTAAGGGCCAGATTAAAGACTGAACACGATTGTAATACGAGATGAGATCGAGATTTACACCATTGGATAATCTAAGTAGCCATAGGAATTAACGTTCTTTCCAGATCTGCCCTTTGGCAAGAATGAATTTAGATGGCATCTGCCGATAAATCGTGGTTTTATCATCATGTGTATTCATTACCAGAGAAGAAAATTATTCCAGTTACAGGAAACAAAGAAATTCAAGACAATCCTTTAAATATATTGTTTCTTTAGCAATTTGTTTACCGAGAGTCAGAACGGGTTTAATTTTAATACGAAGACAACGCTCTAATGGCCCTCAACAAACGTCATATTACGATTTAAAATATATACAAATTTAAATAAAACAACGTGGATCTCTTTTTGCCCTTTTGGATTTAAATGAAACATTAGTTTTGTTGTCATTTTTAATTTTATGTCTCATATCCAGTTGTGTACGATATATTTATATCAATTTCGTATTCTAAGTGAAATTAGACAAATGAAAAATCAAGATGACTGATGAAATGGCAAACTCCCATGAGCCGTGTGAGCAATGCTATCATGGTGATGGCCCTTTTTTGCATTCGTGGTAGTCTAACACATTTTTTCTCATCCTCTCATAAAGATTGTTCTACAGTATTTCTAAACAAAATCTATATGTTATATTGGTAATTTTCTAATACTTTTTAAACGACGACAAAATAATGTATGCATTTCTTCTCCGAACTTTAAAATGACTGCGTCGACACCAAACCCTTGTTTCATCACTTAACTTATTTGCCACGTATCAACCTGGATTACAACCAGATTATCCCTCCAAAATCTCAGAGGTCACTCCGATCTATTATTGCCAAGAAGATTGAAAAGTGAAAGATGTGTTCTTCCCGTATCCTAGAAACAAGAAAACGCCTTTCTCCTAACGACGTGTTATTGTAATATTCGCACTATTTCATTATGTATTTCAATGTCTTCTCAGCGGCTTAAAATGTTAATTCCTGGTCACTTTTTCACGGCATGTCTTTTTTGTTACTACATTTCGAAGCAGGCGTAGTAGAAATTATCCCCTCTAAGCTGGTGGTGTTTTGGTTTGTCGGTGGACTGTTATCATCTTGTTCCGAATCAAAATCGGGAAGTCTTTGGTCCTGGCACAAAGGTTTTCTTTGGCCGATTACCTTCTTCAATCAGAATACATCAATCCAGCTATTATCCTAAAATACTCAAATCTCTTGCTTACTTCTTCCACACACTGTATCATGTGTCCATTTTACGCTTAGCCGCATTTGACTAA